GTAAGTATTTGTGGTTTTTTCTATATTTCCGAACGACTAAAAAAAAACATCATACTAAAGCTAATATGTGAATCTAAAAAAACTTAGTATTAGTATATTTAATATTCTTAGATGTAACATGATAAAAGTTTCAAATTTAATGCTAAAATAAAAAATAGCTAGAAAAGAAGTACGTAGGTGCCCAATAGTAGATCAGTCCAAATAAATATCATTAAAACAAAATACATTCTTAGGTTCTAAAGACCTTTTTGAGATTTTTTAAAAATTGTGGCTGTAATATCTCCGATTGGACTGTTGTTTTTTGAAAGATTTATGGGAAATAAAATTGATAGTTGTTTCTTTGGTTGGTTAACGTTTTTTCGTAAATGGTGTTAGCCTAAACCAATATTTTAATTTGTGCTATCTAGTTACCTTATTTGGGATTCCAGTTTATTAGTAACTTTGAAATTTCTCCATAAAGTTTTCGTGTAAAAAAACGACCGTGTTGTTGAGATAATTCAAGCGGGATCAACTATCTTAAAAAATTGTGTATTGGCCCCACACTTCGTCATTTACAGATTTTTTAATGACGTTCGAGATCTTCTTTGATCAAAAGCTTCTTGACTAATATTGAAGTCAAAATAAATAAATTGTGACATTAAAGCACATTTTAATTAGCAATTTATCGATGCACGTTAAGAAAACTGATAAATAGAATTTAAAAAAAAAAACTCATGCTTCCTGTCTTTGGTATTTAAAAGAGATGTTTAATTATATTTTACATAGCATAAAATGCACCTGGTCTCGCTTGAACATGGAAAATATTTGTTTGTCTAAACATACTCTAAAATATAACTTTGATTACTTGAATTACACTCGATTAATTTTTGTTAAATTTTCAATTTTATTATTTATTTATATTAAAATTCTAATTGATTGTTTCTAACATAAATATAAATAACTATAAAACTATAATAACTATAACTAAATAACTATAATAACTATCCACTGTACTCAAGAGGACCAAAAAATTATCAACATGAATTTTTTATTAATTTCTTTTATCAAAAGTAAATGATGCCAAAAAAAAAACCATAATGATTGATTCATTATATAAAATTCATAACATTTGTAAATTAAATCTATATTTATGAACAAATAATTACTCAGAGTCTTGATTATATACTTTTAATCATTTAGCTTGATTTTCCTGTTTCCCATTTTCGGGCAATTACTAGTTAATTAACCAAGCAAACAAGTCAACGCGGCTTTTATTTATTTATATGCCTTCGGAAAAACATTATAACTACTATTTATTTTAGATTTTAAACACCATTCCCATTAGAGATAGTACAGCTCAAATAAAATAAAATAACTGGGAAAATAGGATTTTATGAAATTTTGTGTAACACCATAAATAAAAAAATAAAATAAGATAAGAACGTCAAAATCATAAGAAGCCGTAGATATATTTAATAGGAATGATATTCATTCATGTTGACCTGCTATTGGACTGCTACTCACGACACAAGATTTTAGTGGTCAATAGAACTTCACAAGTAGTACTATTAATTTTTTCTTGTTCGAGCTTTTAAGATGAGGTTAATTCATATCACAATAGTAAAACGTCTGCTAAGTAAGGCCAGTATAGCTTCCTCAACGTTTTCATTGGATAAGTAATATCTATATTTGGAGGTTTATAATTTTTTGTATGAGAATAAAATCTTCTCAATAATACAATAATCTCTCAATATTCGCGGGTTTGTCATCCACAAATTTTGTTCACCAGCAAATATTAAAATGAGGAAGAGTTCCACATTTACAAATTGCGAATTTGATGATTCATGATTAAATAAAAAACCGTCTGCCAAGTAAAGTCAGTATAGCTTCCTCACCGTTTGGTGAAACAGTGGTTCTCATTGGCTAGAAAATATCTGTATTACAAGATCTAAATTTTTTCGTATGAGAATAAAATCTCTGAGAAAAGCCGTTTTCGGAAATTCAGAAATCATTCAACATATAAAAGTTTGATTTCCATGGGTTTTCTTCATCACCGAATATTAAAATGCGAAAGAGTTGCAGATTGCATATTTGATGATCCGTGATTAAAAAAGAATCAAATGCATACTGAACATTAATGTAAAAACTAATTGTTTCTTTATTATTTATCAGTATAATTTTATATTTTATTGCCCTCTGCTATTTTTCATCGTAGCAAACTGCTTATATCAGTTGTAAACTACAAAATATCACATTTAGTACAAATAGAATAAAAGTTGAAAATTTTGGCATACGACCTTTTGCATTAATAGTAGTGACATATATTTACTCGGTATTTTTTCTCCGTAGAATTAATGAAACAAAAAATACATAGGCAAAATTTAACTTTTTGTTTGTTAAAGAGACTTCAGTCAGAACAAAACTAAATAAGCTGGAATATAAAAATATTTGTGAAATTCAGGTAACTTAGATATTTAAGGTGAAAATCGAGACCATGATGAGTTGGTTGAACTTCAATAGAAATAAACACAATCACAAATAAAACTTTTTTTTACAAACTCAGAGTGAAAATTAAATTAAATTTGCTGAAAATTGCGTGAAATCTAAGTAACGGCAGTAAGTGTCATGCCAGTTGACCAAACATTATAAATTAACTTCTTGAATAAAACCTACAATTTTATAGCCCTATAAAAATATTATCTTAACCCAACTACCACTCCAGATGATCAATGACTGCCACATTTCACAGCCATTATATTAATAACAATTATTTTAATCAATTTTAATTATTAAATGGAGTTCAATGAAATCGATACTAGGTAATTTCTATACTATTCTCCAAGTTTGGGTCAAATCGAACGCAGAGTTTTCAAACTACGGACATGTCAAATAATACATCTCCTGATCTGAAAGCGGAAGCTCTCTTAATATCTCTAAAAAATAGCCGAGCGAAAAACATTGGACCATTTCATATGAAATCACTCTAGCATAATTGATAATAAAGATTTTTTTTTAAAATTTAATTCTACGTAAAAATAATAAAAATGACAAAAATAATGTAAATTAAACATTATTAAACAGATTATTTATCATGTTAAACCGTCTCACAATATAAATTCCGAATTTTCATATATGAACTATTGTAATGAACGATGTCTTTTGGTATTAACAATATAGAATAAAGACTGAAGTAGATTATAAAGTAGTGAAATTGAAACAATGAGGTAGCAATATTCATATGTATAGGTAGCCCCTGAAAATAACGTCAACAAATAACGGATATCAATATACTTTCGTGCATTCTTTCATATAGGCTTCTCGTTCACATATGAAATGGAAAGAATGCATATTAAGAACTAATTATTTATTAACTGATCACACTGTAGCATGTATTGCCAGTTGCTATTTATATCGAAAATATCAACTTACTTGGAAGTGGAATTTATTAGATGTGGGCGTTACAAAACCCTCGCAATGTGGGCGTTATTCTGAAAAGGTATCGAAATTAAAATATCTCAAGAATGAGATGTTAACTCACCCTTATTCTCCTTAACGACGGTAAATAAATACAAGAAATGTCAAATCGGATAAACATCTCAATAGTTTTCTTCACATCAAGTTTTGCATATATTAGAAGTGGAATAATTCATTGCGCATTATCTAAGGCACAGTATTTCCAAGCCCGAGTTGTGTTCCGCTATGACAAATTATCATTTATTCTGTTACAGTAGCCGTTGATTGATCTGGATGTCTGTAGAATACTCTCCCATAGAATACCCAGGCTTTAGAAAGTCGATAACGTTAAATTATAAAAACCTGGTGGTCGAGCGTGACATTCGCTAAATAACTTCCTTAGTCAAGAAACCGTAATTATTTCCCAAGCACTATACATAGTATTTCAGGGTTAAGAAGCCAAACTGAAAATATGAATGAAGGACCTCAAAAGAAGAAAAAAAATTCTAAACGATTTGTTCAGGAGATATTCATTCACACCTAAAGATTTTCATGGTTATGAATTATTTACTTTATATTAAGTAAATAAAACTTAAGAGCATTGAGACAGGCATCTTTCTTCAACAGCAGCAGTGGCAGAAGGGCACTGGATATGTGTTATTTTTTCACAAGATTCAATTATCTTTCTTCATAAAGAATTAAGAAGGTTGTTTAGGCAAACTTTTCCAATTATGGCAAAATAACTCTCATGAGTTTCAATAAAGTAACATTCTAAATTTTAAGGCAACATTTTAATTTTTAAGCAGTGAACTGTATCTTAAGCGATTGGTAGGTTAATGAATTGCAAAAAAAAATAGTTTGCCGTCTATATGCCAGCTTACATCTTTATTAAGTGGAGGGCTCTCTGTACGTGACTTCTTGTACTGGAGAAGGTGCTTGGCCAGTGGCTGCCGTTGTAATGGGCAGATAAAACTAGTCACTCTCAAGGCTTAAGTGTTATCTTTTAGATCTGCCCCCACCACTCGCCGTAACGCGAGAAAATTTAAATGAAAACCATTCTTTGGCACAAAAAAAGGTCATTGATCGGACATGCATAGACTTTTTGTGTTGCATAGACCAAACAAAAACATCCAGTGGTGTCAAGTCTGGAGAGCGTGCAGGCCAAGCCACTGGTTTTTCACTGCCAATCCATGATGAGTGGAATGATTAACATTTAGCCATTGTCGTGGACCTCGTCCGTAATGTGCAGGACAACCATCAAATTGAAGCCACATGTCCCTTCCCAGTTGTAGTGGAAGTATATTCAACTAAATCATAATAATCATTATTAAGAAATTTCAGAAGTGTGCCAGTATGGAGTCGAAGCAGCAAGAAATACGGATCTATTAAACTATTGTCTATTATCCCAAACCACACATCGCACTGAAACTGAATCTGAAAAAAAATCACTAATTGCATGAGAATTTTTCTGCGACCAAAGGCGATTATTTTTCTGATTTAAGATAACTCTTCTTCTAAAGGTAGCTTTATCTGCCCAGAGAATTTTTCCTGAAAATTGTGGATTATGCTCAACTTGATTTAAGTAACAATTTGAAAAATTTCTTCCTTATCGAAAATCTTGCGTTAATAAATTTTGAGTTTTTTTTTTTGGCTTATTTTTAATCTTCTTATGCTTTAGATTATTTTATTTTATTATCTATTGTATATACATTTGATTATTATTCTGCTTCTATTTATTTTATATTTTTTTGTACATAAAGTGTGAATGTCATCCTACCTCACTATAACCAATATCTAAGAGACAGATTGTTGTAATACTCAATAAATAAATAAATACATTTTGTACCCGTTGATAATGATAAGGGTGAAGACCATCTGCCATGAGAGGTATCCATACTGTAGTTTGCGTAATATTTAATTCTCCTCCAGCTCTTCGTACACTGCCAGATGGATTATCATCAAAATATTGTAATATAGTAGCATTCCTTTCTTCATTTCATAAAGGGGCAAAAATATCATCAGAATGTGGTATTATAGCAAAAGTACCAGTTTCTCTAAGACTTTGAAACGTGGAGCTAAAGATGAACTTTTTTGGCAATCTTCTATTCGGAAATTGCCTGGCATATTCACGATGGGCGCATTAGCATTACCATTGCAAAAACCGTATACAAACACCATATCGGCATATTCACCATTACTATAAATGGAAGGTATAATGATGAGTACTTTGCGAAAGCCTCTCACAAACTGATAAATGTTATTCAGTGTTCCCAATGTTAATTCCGAATAGTATTAATCCTTATGTTGTCCCCTTATTTGTTCCTTACTGTATAAAAGTTTTTATACAGTAAGGAAATAAAAGGCCATATTAGTCCATCTATCTAGTCCATCTCCTAAACAAACTGTTTCTGGACATACCTACGCTTTGAACAACATTTAATGTGAATGTTAATGTTTACATTTAATTAATAAAATAGTTAGAACAAATAAATAGGTTTTATTTATTCCATATAACGTAAATAATTCATAACAACGAAAATCTTTAGGTGAGAAGTAATAATATCTCCTAAACAAAGCGTTTGCGGACAAATCTAATTTTTAAAAAACTAATTACCAGCTAATTAAGGAGTATTAAGGAAGAATCAGCGATAGTTACTCTATGACCATGTTTATTAATTTCTTCAATTAAATAAATTAATTAATAATAAAAATTTTCTTTTCGTTGAATTTTCCTTAATTGGTTGGTGTTTCCTTTATCTTATTTATTAATATGAAAAGTCGTTACTAAAAAGTAGTTTAAATGCTGAGGTTTCGGCCTTATATAGTTTCTTAAAAATGTCCCTGAAGGAATTTTCAGTAATGTATTAAATGGTTACTTCGGTTTTGTTTGTAGTGACCGGGTTTAATGTAGTGATGCAGAATAATGGACAATAAAAAAGAAGTGAACTTCAGGATATCACTTCCGGAGCTAACCGAACACAAAACAGTTTCACTCTACACTAGAAAGAGCAAAATAAAAAAATGTTCGAAAAGGATTAAAAAATCATATAATATAATAGTTAATAAGGATTTATTAATTCAATACACGCTGTATCGAACGCTTGAAAGACATCCACAAATACGCTAGTTGCATACAATTACTGGTCTAATGCCGTGGCTATGTAATCCGTCACTCCGTTTAATTGATCTATAGTTGAGTGATGTGACCTAAATTTGAATAGATGTTTGGTATTATGTGCATATTTGCCATTATGTCCACAAGACTTATATTGAGCAATTTGAGGAAAATATAAGGGCAGAGAGGAAGCAAGTGGACGAGTTGTTATGAGAAAGAAATTTATATAGATCTCTTTTCCTAAATGAAGTTCTGCTGTAAAGAAAATTTATTCGATCTGAGTATCTTGTTATGATTAATTTTTAAGACAACTGGAATTTTCAAGACATCTATTAAAGCATTTTAAAGCCTAAACTAATTGGCATACATTTCATTCGACCATTCGACATCTTGCTGCCCAGTACAACTTTGATTTTTTTATATAATAATTCACATATGTTTTGTTTCTTATGTCTATCAAAGCGGAACATTTATCTACGTGGTCTGCGTTCATTTTCGATTGTTCATTTAATTTATACCTAGGAACCTCAACCATGCCTGTCTTGTGGAGATGACTTTGTAGACAGTCGTGACCAGTGGCCAGGCGGAAGCAGATAGGTGGCATCTCTTCTTGGTAAGTCTGCTGGGATCAGATTCTCGACCAAAAATCCATAACTTCTCCCATCCACCTTGTCTTGTCTTGTGCATATTTTTTCATAAGGTTAGTTGAACACATGGATTAAAATACTTCAGATACTAAAAATCGGACCTGCATACTGCATGCGAGGAAAATGTTCAGCATTTCATCTTCTTTGTAATGAGCTATAATTTATAATTTATATTTTAAAATATTAATCTATTGATATTGGGGATATTGTCATCCCCTCCTCTTGAACTCTTTACAAGTTTGAGATATAGAAACGTTTAATGATCGGAATTAAACTAAAGCTGGTGTCGAGCATAATTTATGAGTTGAATGGATTCATCCATTTCTCAATGGCTGATTAATAAAGACAAATAAATCTAATATTTACTAAGGTAACAGGGCTTTTTATTTTTTTATGATTTAAAAATTAGTTTTTTAAATATATTTATAGTTTTTTTTTCGAAATATTGTTACCTACAGTTGTCGAATTTTACAAGCAGAAACTTCTTGATTCATAAGGTCTGGTTCAAAACTGATTGATTTAAAAAAAAAAAGTAAATATATATATATATATTTTACTTTTACATATACATAATATATATATACATTATATATATATATATATATATATATATATATATATATATATATATATATATATATTATGTGATGTTCTAGCCACATATCCTCACTATCTCTCTCCGTCAAAGCTGTAAAGATGAAGAAACCTTTCCTGTAATAGAGCCTTGACATAAGGCCTGTATTTCGATATTTCTGATTAACTTGGTTTCTTGTATGGTACTTGGTTTTCCTTGATCTCACTATGAATCGTTATTATTATATAATCTTCTCTGTATAACACTGGCGGATCTACGAGAATAATCTAAAATAGAAAAATTACTTTTTAATCTCATATTTGTTACGGTACTATTTCGTAACACTGTATTACTTTGTAGCACCTAAGAGGAAAACAATATGCCTAAGAGCTTTATTCATTTTTGTTCCTTTTTTTGAAAGGCCTTCAAGAATCACTTAAACATCTTATAGTTTCGTTATTTTTCTTCCAGACTAATTATCATTATATTAATAAAAAAAATAAATAAAAAACCGAGATTCTCCACCAAAAATCCATAACGTCTCCCATCCACCTTGTCTTGTGCATATTTTTTGTTTCCTCCTTCACTACCATCCTCACCATTCGTCGAATTGAATCGTAAGATTTTGGATGGATTGTTTTAGGCAATTCTGCTCCTCTCATGGCGAGACTATACGCTTCCTCATTTCCTGGAATACCGCAATGGCTCGGAATCCACTGTAAGACCACATTGGTGCCTCGGAGTGTTAGATCGTAGAGAAGAGATTTAGACTCCAAGATAGCGCTTGACAGACATTTACTCACGTCAGTAACAGCGGGGATTCCTGCTTGCAAGTCGACAAAGAAAACAGCGCTCTGAACTTGCCTTCCTGATAGTGTTCTTAGAGCTATGAGGATCGCTGCTATCTCAAAGTCGAAATTCGTACCATCGTTCGTATCATCAAAAACCTTTAACAAGCAACAAATTCAAAAACCGTCTACAACTAATTTACGATTTTTTTTTTTTAATTTTAATCGCCTCTACCCAAGAGGTCATTGGCGGTACGTTTTTTTTTATATTCTATTGTAGTATTGAGTTGCTATTAATTATTGGAATAGAGTGGTGACTCCATCCTCGTTTTCTCTTAATATCTCCTTCATTGTTATCGGTAATTTTAGTTTTAGTCGATTTTTTTTTTTTTTTTTTTGAGCTCATGACATTCTACTAATAGATGTTTTACCGACTGCGGTTTATTGCCACAGTTTTAGCAAGTGGGTGCTTCTAGTCCTCTAAGAAGGTACCCATGAGTAAACAGGCAGTGACCAATCATTGTTTGGCATAATATAGTTTACTCTATTCTGAATTTTCTAGTGCTTTTAGCCCATTTGTTGCGCTCTGTTTTTATTTCTAATAAAAGTTGCGCTTGGTAATCGCAAACTCGGTTCACTTCTTTCAAATCGATGGCGGTGAAATCAGATTGATACAGATGTTCCAGCTAATCGTCCAAAAATGTGTTCCATCTTTATGCTGATAACCCGAATATCAGCAATTTAATTGAAATTATTTTTAAACTTTTCTATTGAAATAGGTTTCAGCTGTTGTTACGAAAATTAAATGTCAATAATTCTCTTTTTTTTATACAGTACAACTAAACATTTAACAAACCTATCAAGCAAGGCGTAAAACGTAATACGCCTAATAATTCGGAAACGTAATACGTCTAATATAACGTGATAATAATTCGGACGACGTATAGACGTTACTACTATAGTCACTAATAATAACTAACCCTTTATGATTTTATAAATTAGTAATAACATATATTATTGTAGTTACACAACAAAGAAAAAGTTTCTTGTAATTTACGCATATAATGTCAGTCAGTTGCATATCCAAGCGAAGATGTTGAGCGACAATTCAGTAGATAAATATGAGAATTAATTAATTATAATTATACTCGTACTATGAAGAATTAGTTGTTCTTAAACTACATTTGCTCCTAAAATAAAATGGATTAAAAAGCTTAGAACCTAACAGATCAAAAATTGTATACTGGTCTTATTTGTTTAAGTATACTCCGAATTCTTTATTCGTCAAGCAACACTTGATTTAAAAAAATGTTGCCACTGCCACGAAATCTTCATTCTTGAGGATTCTCTATAACATTAATAGAAGTCACTAGACTTACCTTTTTTCAATAATATAATACTTGAATGAAGTTGTCACTTACCTGCAAAGAAAAAAAAAACTAACATGTATAAGTAAATCTGTAGATTTTTGGAAAATATAAACAATAAAATTCAAAACATATGAGTCAATAATAAACATTTAAATGGCAATCTGAAATACTTAAACGGATATGTCAATTTTAAATTATAGAAAATTTAAATAAGTTCTGCGCATGCGCTTGATTTGATTGCCACGTTTTTACATCGTCTCTCACAGTTTCTCTTTTTTTAAGTGGAAAAAGTTTACTTTTTTTACTACAAAACTATTAACGCCGAGATCAACACAGCAGCAACAACAATGGACTAATACCACAGTGAGTAGTGTTGATATTTACTGTGTATTCTATAGACAGTGAAACCAGTGTCCGAGGTGCTTTATTGCTAGCCTTATCTGTAATAGCTAGGTCTGATACTGCCCACTATCAGTCGTGGCTCTGCCACAGATGAAGACGAAAGGAGCTGTGCTCGTCGTTTCTCCGAGTTCAAGGACACGCAGACGAAGTTTTATTTTCCTTATTTTTTTTTTTTTTTTTTTTTTTTTAGATGCGATATTTTCATCAAGTGATGTCCACTAAGAGGTCTTGTTCTGCTGGCTCCACCCCTCGTAACG